TTTAGATGACTATGGAGCTTCACCAATATTATCATCCAATGTTATATCATTTTGCCTTCATCATCATCATCATCATCATCATTTGGAATATTTACCTCTTCTCCAAGTTATTAGTCGTCAACATAATCATATGGATCACCATTATGATCATCACCACAAATAGCATCTAGGTTATGATTAAGTAACCGAACTGGATCATCATTATACAAACTGATGTCTTTCTTGGGTGTAGTCTTATCTACCTTATCAATGTCTTTAATATTTTGGTCTTCCATGAATACTACATCGTGGCTTCAGATACGATTCTTCCCTACAAGATCATACAACCTGTTATCAAACTCATCTTACCCATAGCCATGAATTTACATTGTTTTGACTTTGCATTCAACTTGGATTTTTCATCCTTTAGAATATGCACAGAAGTCTTACAACCAAAGACTCTCAAATGATCATACTTGACATTCTTTCCAAACCAAATATTATCTGGAACTTCATTGTTCAAATCAATAGTATGAGTGATATTAAGAACATGCATCACCATGTAAAGTGTCTCACCCCAATAATTATTTGGCAACTTAGCTTCAGAGAGCATACACCTTACTCTCTTAATTAGTTTCGATTCATCCTCTCTGCTAAACCATTCAGTTGAGGAGTTTTAGGAGGAGTCTTTTCACGTGTAATACTTTGCTTCTTGCAATAGGCCTCAAATGGTCCATAATACTCACCACCATTATCAGAACGATCATATTCGGCTTCTCGCCTGCCAGCCTCTCTACCAAAGAATGAAATTATTTGAACTTCTCCAACACTTGGTTTTTTTGTTTTCAAGACATAAACCCATAGTTTCCTGGAACAATCATCAATAAAGGTAACAAAATAAAGTGCACCACTAAAAGATTTTACCTTTAATGGCCCACAAACATCAGAATATACTAATTGAAGCCACTTTGACTTTCTTGAGGGAGTATATCTCTTGAAAGATACTATAGTCTGTTTACCAGCCATACAATGAGAGTGCTTCTCCAAATATGTATTCTTTAACCAAGGAAGAATATACTTTTGGACAAAATATTCATCCTCTTTTCACTAATATGACTAAGTCTTCAGTGCCACAAAGATGTTTCCATGTTGATAGCATTCACACTGTCCCTAGAAACCAAAGTTTTTGTCCAATATAATTTAGAGAGCTTCTCCCCTCTAGCCACAACCAAGTTATCATTTTCGAGTTTCCACTTTCCAGAACTAAAGTGACTGTCATAACAACAATCATCAAGCATATGCACATAGATCAAATTAAAACGGACATTCGGAGCATGTTTGACACATCTAAGAAACAATTGCATGTTGGTTTGCAAATAAACTTCACCAATACCAATTACCTTAGATACACCATCATTACTCATCTTTAACACTCAAAAGTCACTAGAAGTATAAGATGTGAATAAATCCTTCCTTGGTGTAACATGAAATGTAGCACCACTGTCAACTATCCACATGCTCTCGTCTGATACAAGATTAACAGACTCATGATCACGTAGTATAACAAGATCATTATAAGTAGCAGTAGTAACATGAACATCATCATGATCTCTTTGTTTAGACTTACCTTTCTTGCCTTTGTTATCCTTTTTCCATTGTAACAATACTTTTGTATATGTCCTATTTTATGACAATAATGACACTCCAGATTCTTGTATCATGGGTTGGACTTGCTTATGTTATTCTCTCTATCACCCTTTGATTTTTTTTCTTCTGACTTCTTCCCCTATTTTCAATGACAAGTACCTCAGATTGAGATGAAGAACCTTGTGCCTTCCTTCTCATCTCCTCATTAAGAATATCACCTTTAGTTGTTTCCAAAGAAACAACACCTCTAGGAGCAGAACATGTAATAGAAATTCAAAACGTCTCCCAAGACTTTGGTAAAGATAGCAATAGGAATAATCGCAAAAGTTTATCATCAAATTTGATACTCATTCCTGACATATGATCAAGGAGCCCTTGAAATTCACTCAAGTGATATGAAATAGAAGTCCCCTACTTATACTTCAAACTTATGAAGTTATTCAACAAAAATAATTTATTATTCTCTCATTTAGAGGCATACAAGGACTCTATCTTCTCCCATAAAGTTTTTGCATGTGTATCATTCGCAATATGATTATAAATATTATCTTCTACATATTTTCGAATAAAGCCACATAACTGTTGACGTTCAAACTCCCATTCTTCATCAGACGCAAAATCCGGCTTTATGGAACCAAAAACCGCTAAATGCAATTTCTTCATAAATAGTAAGTCTTTCATCTTGCCCTTCCATAAATGGTAATTAGAACCATTCAACAATACCATCTTCATCTTTGTATTTGGCTCCATCATTCAAACAAGTAAAATAGCCCTTAACCAAGAGCTCTCATGCCACTATGATGAGAAATTAAGACAAAATAATAAAACAATACGCATCGAATATATAATTCCCCTAACTTGTAGGAACCTTGAGGATCAACAACAAATATAAGACGACAAATCGAACAAACAAATGCATAAAAGAACACCAATGTTTTTAACGTGGAAAACCCCTCAATATGAGATTAAAAACCATGAGTTGTCCAAACCAAAGAAAATAACTCCACTATAATCAATTGAGGATACAAGAGAGTCTTAAAGTGATTTATAAAATAGTGATAACAACCACAAATCAGAAAACAAACTAGCTTACAAATAAGAATCCAAAAAACTGAAAAATTACTCAAATCTGCAGCTTCAGTGCAAAGCAATTATCTCTCAACTCAGACATCGTTTTGAAGATCCCAACAGTCAAAAGTTAGATATATGTGTTGCAAACCTACCCTCCAAATTTGAGCTCGAGCTGATGGCTAACAAATTGTGGATCGTCGATTTAGTGAGACTGGTGCAGAAAAAACGAAAATGAGTTTCTCTCTTTCGAATCCTTATTTTCTCTCTATTTCTCTCAATCCTAAATTGACACTTTCTACTTAAATAAGTGAGACAAATGAGTTATTCATATATTGGGTCTTGCTCTACATAGGAAGGAGCCCAAACCCAACAATCACAAGCTTTGATCCATATTATGATCCACTTTCAATCCACCACCGCGTCTAACCAGATTTTAATACCACTTGTTAGAAAGTCCGATGAACGAAGCATCAGAAGTGTCAATAAGCCAAATGTTAATGGATCCAAAATAATTTGACATCACATATCCACCAAAAATCTTAAGGCATTAGAGATATGAATAATTTCTCCTATAAATCCAACAATTCCTTCATTTCTATTCCACGAAGAACTTTAACCACTCACACTTAAATAAATAAATAAAACCCTCACATAATTTATCAAGTTTTTTATTTTAAATTATAAAAAATAAATTAACCTCTTTCACAAAAAGAAAAACTATAATCCATTATTTGATTCTCCATGAAAAAAACAACAACTATGGAGTGTAAGAATAATACATAAATGTGATAATCTAATTCAAATTATATTTGAATTCAAAATGAATCAAACCAATCAAATCATATTAACTCAAATACCAATTTCATGATATTCAAAACCGACCACATGAAATCCAAACAAAAACCTTGTTCTTTATTTCTCATTATATTATTAATTATGTTAAAAATAAACATTGTATCTATATATCTTTTCATTTTTATACTTATTTTTATAATTTTATCGTGGGTAACTTGTTTAAAATTTAAAAATATAGGAAATATAGTGTTTGAAAGAAGAAGAAAAAATCTTTAAAATTTTAAGAAAACATCTTTTTATTATTATTTTTTTAAATATCAATGACTAAATCACATCAAATCAATATTTTTTTTTCCAATAACCAAATATACTCATTATGCCCCTAGTTTTGTGTATTATATTCTTAGTATAATTAACAAGTTTAAATAATCAATAGCATTTTGACCTAAAAACATTACTTTGACTACTTTGTGATAAATTCAAATGCATAATCCCCAAAACAATACTAGTACGGTTTAAGACTTTAAGTTATAAAAATGGCATGTAACTCGTGTAAGTAACCAAATTAATTTATTTATTTTGTGTAACTCAAATTCATAAAAACATGAATTTTATGTTTTAATTTATGCAACACATTAACTATTGCTCAATTTAATTCATTTTCCAAGTCACCGACTAATTCACTCTCTAGTAAATTGTGAAATTTCTTTATATATATATATATATATACTCTTCCAAAGTCCCCAAATTAACACTATGCTTGGGAAAAAAATGTAAGCAAAAAAACAAAGAAAATCTTCAAATCTTGCTTAGTTTCTGTGAAAATTTGTTTTTTTTCATTATTTAGTTAATTTTATTCTCAACTAATTTATAATAACTTGTGATTTTTTTTCTCACATGCCTTTGTTGTAACCAATATGTTTCAGAAAGAAATCTACTCAAAGCAAGCAACTGACATAGACACTTGACACCATTAAAGCCATGTAAGTTTTGAGCTTATTTTTTAATCAATTTTTATATAAAAAAAAAAGACTTAAATAAGCTGACAAAAACAAAAGGTTGAGATTCCTAAACCATGGAAAGACAGCTTAGAACACAATCTCTTATTGGTAGCATGGCTGCACCACTTTGACAAGTGTTGTTCATATTTCTAACCATTTTAATTTTCCTATATGGTTAATTTTCAACCATGGTTAAATTAAACCATTTCACTTCTCTTTTACTTATATAAATTTATTTAAACATTTCCTTTCCAATTTTCATTCTCTCTTTTTCTCTATGTTTTGGTAAACAACTTTAGGTAAACCAGATTAGTACTATTATTATTCTTATTGTTATTACAATTTACAAACACTACAAATACAAAAACATGTTGTGCTATTATCATAGAAAATCACCAAAAGAGGAAAGAAAGACACAAACTTTGATAAAAAAATTGAACAACATTTTTGTCTAATTTTATCTTCAAAGTACACACATTGTGTTCTTTCTTGTTTTTTAGCATACAAATGAAGAGGTCTCCACCATCTTCAAGCTCTTCATCATCTTCATCTTCTATTGGATTTGAGAATCCAATTCAAAAGAGGGGTGCTAAGAGTACAAAGAAGAATCTGAATGTGAAGCCACAGAATTTGAAGCAAAAGAGGAACCAAACAACAAATGGTGGAAGTAGAAGAAGCTCCATTTATAGAGGAGTTACAAGGTTTGAAATTTAATCACTTTTTTTTTGTGGTACCAAAATTTAATCACTTTTTTGATGACCCTTTTGAATTTTGGTGATGGGTTTTTGTTTTGCATGTGACTTATTTTGGTTTGATGAATTTAGACATAGGTGGACTGGTAGATTTGAAGCTCATCTTTGGGATAAGAGTTCTTGGAACAACATTCAGAACAAGAAGGGAAAACAAGGTTATTTTACTATGTTTTTTTTAGTATTTGGTTCTTTTTGGATAATAATTTTTTTTAGAAGTTGAATAATTTAAAAATGTTATTAAATAAAGAAAAAGGTATTATTAAAAAATAGGGAAGATAAGTGAGAGAAAATGAAGGAGATCTATTATGTTTTGTTTATTATTTTAATTTAAATTATTATAATAATTATTATATATTTGTGAGTTTCTGACCTTTGTTTTATTGTTTGCAATCTCTGTCATTGTAACGTTCATAATCACTTGCGGATGGTTTAGTTTATTTGGGTAAGTCATTTTTGTGAAGCACTTTGAAACAATCCTAGTCAACATTTTCAATTTTATAAACTATTAATATTAATTTATTATTATTGATTATAATGTTCACATTATTTGGACGCAATTGTGTTATTTTAATTTTAATTTTAATTTTAATTTTGATGTGTAGGTGCTTATGATACTGAAGAAGCAGCAGCTCGTACCTACGATCTTGCAGCACTTAAATATTGGGGAAAGGATGCAACTTTAAATTTTCCGGTAAATTTATCTAATATTTTTCAATTGGTCTATGAAAAAATAAATAGAGTCGTAAAATTTTGTTTTGGAAAAATAAAAGTCAAGTCAAATTTAAGATGATTTTCGAGGACTAATTTGACTGATATTTAATTTTAATTTTGATATGATGATTATTTTGTATGTACTAATTTGAGGAAGATTTTTGCAGATAGAAACTTATGGAAAAGAGTTTGAGGAAATGGACAAAGCATCAAAAGAAGAGTATTTGGCTTCATTGCGGCGCCAAAGCAGTGGTTTCTCTAGAGGCATTTCTAAATACCGTGGGGTTGCTAGGTTAGATCCATTCATTCAAATTTCTACTATCATAATAACATTCTTTATCAGATGAAACATATCGGTCACAATTTCACTTAGTACAAGTATCGCAAGCGAATAGTAGTATCAATAACGAAACTTTTTAATTCTATTTTGTCACGGAAGTTTTTAAGCCTTATTCATGGTATATTTGAATAGGCATCACCACAATGGTCGGTGGGAAGCTCGCATTGGAAGAGTTTGTGGTAACAAGTATCTCTACTTGGGCACATACAGTAAGTTTCATTTTTAACTTCTCACTTTTATATTTTAAAATAAAGTATGTTCCTCTTAAAGTCTCAGAGTCTCAGGTTCGAATCTGGTTTCGGTTCACTTTCATTTTTCTTTAATCCATTATTTTTTATGGTTATACACCAACAATACTTAATAAACATGTCACGTGGCATGTGACAATCCTTAAGTAGCAAAAGTACAATTTATCCTCTGCAAAGTACTTATTTCCCATCTGTGTCCCATGATGAATTCAGAGAATTTGTTCTCAATTCTCATTGTTTTTCAAATCCATAAAACTGCCCCACCTATTTTTTGCACCCTAATTATTTACTAATTTTTTATTACTTGAATAATTGTATATATACACAACACAACAATAGGTTCACCCCCTATATATTTTATTAGTAATAATAAATAATAAATTACAGCTTGTAAAACTGTGTTCTTGTAATTAATTAAGTGAATTAATGAGTTGTGTTAAAGCTGAAATTTTAGGGTCCATGTGTGACTTGTGTGGGTTGCATGAACTGTATTTGCAGTACTATTGTCTTCTAGTTGCAGAAATATACATCAATTTTTGCTCTCACTATTTACAGCTACCTACTAACGTTGTTTTCTTTGCATTTTATCCTTAAAAAAAATCTAAAATTATTAACTTACTTTTTCATATTTTTTTTTCTAACAAATTCAAATTTTTAATTTACTATTTTTATTAAAACACCCTATATAAAAAAATAATTTACCACCTCATAGATCTTGTCATAAATTCTCACATGTTATAGATGTATTTGAATTTGCTTGAAGATTAGGTAGATATAGATAAAATAAATGTTTGTGTCAATGCCATAACTTCAAATTTAAAATTATTAATACGCAAGGGTGTTAAAATAGATCGGTGCCTCAAATATGTTCTTTTTAGAGGAATTTTTTTAGTTAACTAAAGTTTTAAATCGGTACGATCTAATATATCTATTCGTCATGTTCTTTTTTTCTGCTCTTTTTAGCCGACATTAATATAAATTTTTGTAATTTTAAATTTTAAAGGTATAATGTTAGCCTTTTCTGCTCTCATTTTTTCTGCAAGATAGAAAAAGATTTTAAGTCCATGTCTTCAACAATGTCGTCTCATTCTTGTTGGACGGACTTAAACAGGATCTGGGTCTGCTTGTCATCCCTAATTATTGTATAAACAATGAAAAATATTGTGATTGTATTATTTAGTTATGTGTGTCATTCACAATTTGTTGGCCAAGTTCATCTAACAATTGACTATAGATAAACATGCTGGGGAGGGTACATCAGATCCTTGACTCATGCAGCATCCACAATCTCCTGCCAACATTTCGCTCAAAAGTTTGTTTCTTTTATTTACTTACAAAAATTAGGCATCTAGTCTTGGAGTAGACTAATGCATATAACTAATTTTACCATTTATTAGTGGAGTTTCAATTGAAGTGAGAGGGAAACTTTATATAAATTGACTAATCACAAAAATTATAGTTAAATATATTAATCTTGTGAAAGGATATTAAAAAAAATGATTTTTTGTTTAATTATTATTATAGGTTTAAAAAGCTAAGATGAAGTTAAAAAGTTAACTAGATCCACAAGATACTAACAACTTTCCCAACCAAAAAATCCAGTAGGCACGTGAATTCCAATCCAAATCCTGATTCTTCAAATATTGTTCTTAAACATTTTGAGATTTTTTTATGTCATAAAGTTAACTTTATGCAAACTTTTTTTCTTTTATGAATTGATTAATGAAGAAGCAAGTTGTAAGTTTTGCACATTCATCCTGTCATAAGCTGTTTATCCAAACATGGCCTAATATTCATGCCGGTGACATGTTAGTGACAGTAGAATCAAGATCAGACTAAGATATGCATTTTTTAATATCTCGAGTCATTATCTTGATCCAACCGTCACCAATGTACAGACTATGTTCAAATAATTTTTTATTATTTGCTATGTTGCACCGACACTTCTGATAAAAATGTCTTTGTTCGTGTTGGATGTTCCATTTATTTATTTTTTTCAAATTATTATTAATGCAGATGTATCAGTGTCAAAGTCACGTTCAGTATCCAGTATCTGTGTATCTGTCCATGCCTAATGCTATGAGATAAATTTGTGTTTGTTTTTGTAGAAACTCAAGAGGAAGCAGCAGTGGCATATGATATGGCAGCAATAGAGTATAGAGGAACAAATGCAGTGACAAATTTTGACATAAGCAACTATATTGACAAATTGAAGAAGAAGAACAAAAATGTCGAAGAAACAGAACAAACTCAGCCAGAAACAACAACAATAACGGAAATTGTTCCTAATAATTCCTCTGATTCTGAAGAAACCTCACAAGAACAAACACCAATAGCTACACCAGCGCCGCCACCACCGCCAGAAGAAAATCTACAACAAGCTGAACCTTGTCAGCAACAAGTTCAACAACAACAGCAGCAGAATGTTGGTCCAGTTGTTCAAGAACACACATTGGTTAATGTCATGGACATTTATCTTGACCAAGACCTACCATGGAGCTACATGTACAACGGGTTATTAGAGTTTCAAGACACAAACATGTCATTCAGCAATGACAAAGATTTAATTGATATATTTGACGGAACAGGCTTTGTGGAAGACATTGGTTTAATGTTCAACACAGAAGAGCCTTGTGTTGGCGAAACTGATATCAATATCAGTGAAGTTTTGGAGGGAATTGATTTATTAAATGGAAATGCTGAAAACATGGTTGTGGATAATAATGATAATAACAACATTAACAAGGAGAAGGAAATGTTGTCCTTAGAATCATCTTCTTCACCATCATCTTCAACAACTACAGTTTCTTTGTAACTAAATCTATTTGAATTTCATGATGACAAGGTGGTGTTGGATGAAGATACATGGAGATTTATTGTTTGGTTTGCTTAGAAATTGTTGTGATTGGTGGTGGATGGTTGTGAAGATTGGGTGAATTGTGGAGAGGTTTTAGGTTTTCATTACTTGTCTTTCATTTTAGGCTTGGATTTTAGTGGACACCATAAAGGATCATAGACCAAAATTAAGTTTTTTTTTTCTCTTGGCAAACTAGTTTGTTCTTTTGTTTTTCTCCATTGGATAAGGGGATGGAGTAATGGAACAATTAAACATATATATCTTGTTTTTTAGAAATAATGGGCTAAGAATAAATACATTTTGATATCTTTAATTGTATTTGTTTTGACAATTTCTCATTGTACTCTTGTATATTCTCAAGTCCTTTGCAAAATTTCTAAAATGTCTTCTGTTTTTGGAGATGTATATCCGGACGCGACAAATCTCTATTTTAATTATAAGTTAATTTAGAGATGTATCTTCAAAGTCATTAAGGTATTTTCGGAGATACATTTTTGAATTCGCTTTTTTATTTAAATTAAAAAAAATAATTCAGAGATACATCTTCGAATTAGGTGAGGATATTTAAAGCTTGCGTCAGACTCTCCCTCTTCTTCATTTTTCATTTTTTAGAAACTCAAAACTTTCTCTCTACTTCACTCTACCCATTTCCAGTTCCCACTCAAGATCAAGTTTTGAAACAACATTTTGTATCTTGTCATTCCCAACTACTGCATTCAATATAAGATCATTTTACACCCTCATCAACATATTATTTTAGTAAGTTTCTCATTTAACTTATTTTGATTTTTGATTAATGTATTAACTCAAATAGGTTAGTTTTAATGCATTAGATAACATTAGCATTTGAAATAGATTATGTGTAAACTCTGTTAATATGATTTGGATGAGTTTGGATGACACTTAGATGGCTAGGGCAGTTGCAACAAAGTTTTTGTCATTGATGTTGAACGAAGCTTTTTTCAGAGATGTATCTCTGAAGTGTTATGTTTCAGATTTTTGGAGATACATCTCCAAACTATTTCCTTTCTCATATACTAACCTGTTTTCTTATGTTTTTTCAAGGGCTATGGCTGAAAACTCTAACCGCGTCGACAAGATGAGACACAACACTAACCGCGTCTGCTCATCACGAGAAGACTCTTCTATATGAGTAGGCTAGAGACATCTCCATAGGGAGGCATCAACCTCTAGGAGTCGACTATCATCGAGTCGGGATTTCAGAGTCATGCACACCATAATGAAGATGTCCCAGTTGCACCGCTGATCTCGGTTGTTAAAGATGCCCCACTTGAAGACCCTTTTTCAGGAGGGTCCACTAACACTTCTTTAATGATATACTTTGGAGACCATGCGGCTCTGTATATCTGGTACAGAGAGGTATATTTTTTAACGGTGCTATTTATTTTGTAACCAAATTCAACTCGACTGAGACTGTTATATTTTATTTTCAACAAGAATGTGAATGTCTGAAATCTGAGAACCATGCAAGAAAAATTCACAATCTTTATTAGCCTCCGGATACGTGGTTCTAAAATTCCCTTCAGAACTCTAGGCTTGCAGGTCTTTGTACTTCCGGATATAACACCATCAACCATGGCATGCAGGTTGCATTTGTTGAGAAATGGCATAGAGAATGCCATCTTTCAACCTCCTCATTAGCGAGATGACTATTACATTGGATGTTGTAGCTTGCCTCTTACACCTTCCCATTAGAGGAAGGTTGCTTGGTCATTCTAAGATCATCAGGGCTGAGGCAGTGAATATGATGGTGACTTATTTAGGAGTAGACCATGTGAAAGCCTTTGAGCAGTGTAGAAGCACCAAGGATGTACATGTCAAGTTTTCTTGGATTACGAATTTGTATGGTAACAAATTGGATATAGACAAACACCAGAACGCCGATGATATTTGGGTTGGGTACCATATGGAGTATGCCCTGAGGTGCTTCTTCATGTTTTTTTAGTTGACATGTTCATGTTTATGGACAAAAGTGCAAACTACGTGGATGTGGTTTACCTCATATATTTTATTAATTTGAAGTCCATTCATGAGTGAAATTGGGGGGATGCATGCTTGATTTACCTGTACTCAAATATGAGCGAAGATTGTAAATGGACGACAAAGAAAATGAAAGGCTCATACATCATGCTTACGGTAAATTTCAAATCCCACTATTAAGTTACAAACAACTTTTTTTTCACAATTGTTACTAATTTTTTTCTTATTCGGTTTCAAGGATGGAATCCTGTCCACTATCACCGCTTTCGCGGGTTTAAACATGCATCGTTGTATATCGAGGATTATCCATTTGCTTTCTAGTTTACCCTTAATAGAGGGAATGATGTTATCGTTTCATTCCGTGTGTATATTGATCGGACTCAACATGATGACGTCGTTTGTATGTCATATGCTACTCATCAGAAAAGAATTTCATTCGACCATATTTCATAGATGGTTGGCATGTGGGATTAATATTGTAATACCCCTTCTAAAATACCCCGAATAATATTAATTATATCAATGATTAAAGACATATTCCATCAGAGTTAACATGGAACAAGGGATGTCACAATTATGAAATAAATAAAACTTCCAATAAAACAGTAGTCATGCTACACTGAGGGTCATTATTCAAATAATTCAATCAAATTAAGACCATGTCTTACACAGCGGAAAAATACCATAACCAAAACGGAATAAACCAAAACATAATTATTCCCAATGAAATTCAAAGAAACAATTGAATAATAACTAATTCCTCAACTAAACGTTCCCAGTGTTACAACCTATCAGAGCACGACACTGACACGCGGACTTAAAGTAACATAGCTCTAGAGCCATCCTCACCAACTCCTGAGCTGCTAACTTTAATCTGAAATTGTTAAAGTAAGGGTGAGATTTCTCATAATTAACATGCATTATAAGCTTCTCAATCAACATTATATCACAAGCATATTATTTCACCCATTTTAGCATAAATTCAGTTTCAACACGCAGTTCCAATCATACAAAGTCATTATGCACAAATCAATAATCAACTAAAGAATTGTAACACTGGAAGACATCCTAACATGTTACAATTCCATGCAAACACAATGCATGTGGTACCAACACGTGACCAAGTCACCCAACACTGATCCATCATCAACCGGATACAGCAACCATCGATTCGTCCATAAACACCTGGACACGAATCCAGCCTAACCACCCATCATCACCCGGGTATCGGTTAATGGCAATACAAGTCAAATTCCACACAATGGGAATTAACTTCACCAAAACAATGCATATGCACGCACATCACTAGCATGCAACATCAAATCAGTCTATGAAATACATCAATTTATCATAACTGAACCAAAACCAAAAACATGATATCTCAACGATCATGCACACCATCATTAGCAACATAAACATGCCTTTCATTCACACAATACTAATACATCCATCCATCACATGTTCACTACTACATACACACCCTTGTGCATTAGCCAATAATCACTTATTCCGGGATTTGACTCATTTTCAAAATAATTTCAGGTTTTAGGAAATATTTTCATTTTATAAAATAGAGCATTAAATTTAAGAAATAACGTCCAAAACGGCACTCAAAATGGACTTACAGTTTGAAAGTTATGAATTTTCAAAGTTTAATATATTTCAAAAAGTTACAGCAGAACCCGGTTCCTACATATGCAGGAACCGGTTCCTGCGAAGTTCAAAAATCACGCTTCTGGAAAAATGTATGGGAACCCGTTTCCTACCTATACAGGAACCGGTTCCTACGTGCATTTTTGCCAGTTTTTATAAATTCACACAGTGGAACCCGGTTCCTCCCCACTGGGAACCGGTTCCCACGACCTGCAGAGTCAAATTCTGCACTTTTGACAGCATTTATTCATTCTAAACCAATTCCAAACATACCCATACGAATTGCAACATGAGAAACACCAAAACTCATCCATTTTACACCATTATAACATCAAACAACATTATTTCATCATTCTTTTTTATCATCTGACACCCTAATGGTTTTCAACCTACAATTCGATGCAATAGGGACAATTCTACGGAACCCTAGAATTCCAAACCGGGATTCCCTAACATACTATGATCCATACTATTGAATATCTAAACCGATAATACGAATTAACTAATCGAAATCACCCCTTACCTTGTGGGTTCTTCGAATTCTGACGCTTCCGGTTTTCTCCTTCTTTTTCCTCTTCTCAAATGCACGTATGATGAATATTCCAAAATAACTCTCTTTCTCTTCTTTTTCCTTTTAATACTCCTTTTATTATTCCAATAAAATAATTAAATTAGTAATTAGTAAGAGTAGAGTATTTTACCCCTCACACCCTCTAATCACTCTTCACACCACTAATACTTCTTTCCTTTAATTAATTAAATTAATTCCAATAATCCAAAAATACCAATAATTAAATTTCCAATTAAATTAATAATTAAAAATTCTAATTATTTAATAATCGGATTATTTGGGGTGTCACAAATATCATGTGCATGTATATATCCGAGTGGTGCATGCGATAATTTGGGTACGCGTAGATCATTTAGAGGTCCCCCCTCGAGGCTTCTCCTATCAGTATTTCCGCAGACATCTGGATGTCATTCTGGAAGATTTTGAGAGTTGTTTGGTACCACTGGAGTATCAGAGTCATGAAGCCACAACTCACTGGAGTTATGTTAAAGGTTACATGACTTAGTTCTATAACGTGTCACACCCTTACATGACACAAAATGCTCCTGGACGTCCACCTAGGCCTGCTCATGAGAAGATCCTGAAAAATGAGTAGGTCATAGATGACCATGTCGTTGATGTGTTGTCACACTGTCATAACATTATGCGGATGACAAGAGAGGACATCGAGTCTGGGCTGTTTGAGAGAGTTGGCGATGAAGTGGTTTCCCTAGCACGTTCTATTCTTACCGAG